CCAAATGGTGATCGAAATGCATAAACAGTCGAAGGATTATCCGTGCATTTTAAGTAGGTGATAGAAGTTGCTAGGTAACGCCAACCGTTTACGTCAATATCGAAGAGGCATTCCACAAAAACAGTCCACTAAAAAGAGAAAATATAGCAAATTAATCCAGTTCTAATGAGCTTATGCCCTTAGGCAATTCCGATGAATAATATTTGTGAAGCAAGCGCTTTCCGTTGGTGATGTTCACAAGCAGCACGCTTGACTTGCTTGACAATTCTGACAACCCATAGCCATGATGAAACCCTGATGAAAACAAGCCAAGCACATAATCCGTATTGTTGATCCTGATGGATCAACAATACGGATTATGTGAGAGTCAGAGAAACTTTCGAGCCCACCGATTAATTTGGGAAATTTCACGTAGCTTCTGCAATGGTGACACATTCAAGGATTTCACTGGAGAATGAAATTCGCATTTCAAAGCAAACAGAAATGGCACAGAATAGGGAGACGCAGGAAGTTTCAGGAGAGGCAAAATGTCGAAGAGACTAAGAATGAAGTTGAAGAAGCGATCGGTTGAGGCACTAGTGATCGTCGTCACGCATTTGGTGGTTATAAGATAGAGGAGCATATTTGTGTATGAGTGTTTGAATGGAGCTGATGAAAAGGATGCTGCTGCTGCTGCAGCATCATCATGCATGATGCATGTACCTGCTCGCCATCTGTCCGTTCTGTTCGTCAGTTTGTGTTTCATGCCTTTTTCATGAAATGCAAAATAAAAACGAAAGCAAGCAACGCAGGCAGCAGCATCACCAGGACGGCACCATAGCCATTTTGTAATAGTATTATACCATTGAAGCAATTCGCATCATTTCGCATTCAATCGCAAGCCGGCCGCAACGACGAATCAACTGCTGCGAGCCGTTGACCTTCAAAAAGAGAACAACATGAAATGAAATGCATGCAAATCCACCTCCATTTCACTCACTCCTCACCTTCGTAAACTGGACGAACGAACGAACGAACGATCGTTCACTTGTTTGTCATTGGTCGCTTTTGCGACAATCAAATAAAAGAGTAAATTTGAAAGAATTTAAGTGGATCAAAAAATACGACGACGATGACCGATAATTGCAGATGAGTGAAATATGGTTGCGAGAGTGGCAGTAAGCCGCACAAACGGTAGAATTACGAGATTTCAATGTTGGATATTGAAAGTTCTAAGGTTAGAGCTTTGAATCTCGACTTGAGATCTGTACACATTGGGACTGGATTGCGGAATGTAACATAACCAATCATCCACACAAACACTGAGTGATATGATTATTAACCAGGTTGTCTTTGAACCACTCAATGCTTGTACAGAGAGAATGGGTACTGGATGATGAGTGAGACTTTGAATCGAGTTTGGTTTG